GGTGGCATAATATTCAATTCCAAGGAGGTACTATAGTTTGTGTTTATTTTAGAGAAAAAATATTTGTATTGTTGAACTCAAGTCATTGTTTCTCCATGTTACCAAGTATCTTGAATTTTAAGATGGAAAAGCATTTAGATGGGTAACAGGCCTGGCTTACTTAATTTTTTTCCTGAGATTTAAATTTAAATTCTAAATGAATGTCTACCACAGAATAAGCCAAGAGAGCTTTAAAACTAATTCTTTTGATTCTGCAAATAGTATCCAAAAGTTTAAGTGAACAGTTTAATTGACCTCTTTTGAAGAATTTTTAAAGTATCTATGGCCTTAAGATCATCACTGGTTACTTTATGTTGGCAAATTTTTGGCAGATGGTAGGTATATAGTCATCATTCAAACACTACTTATATTGTCTTTCCCAGTTTGAATTAGAACATTAGCATTGAAGTTTTCATTTTGAATTAGCATTCAGGAAATTATTTTCTGCTAAATGTCATCAAATGAAGTTTCATTTTTAAAAATTAATGGAGCATGTCAGTCAGTACAGCAGCCCCAAGGAAATAGCTGAAGTAGAGTTACTTTTGGACAATTTTTTAAGTCCTTTATTACCATTTGATAATCTTTTGGAAAACTAAAATATAGTAATTTAGCTGCTAATAGATCACTATCACTAAGTTGATTTTTTTTTAATCCTCACCCGAGGACATTTTTCTATTTTTCTTAAGATAGAATGGGAGGGAGGGAGGAAAGGAGGAAGAGAGAGAGAGGAGAGATAAGAGGGACACATCGAATGGCTGCGTCCCGCACAACCCCAACCAGGGTTGGGGACAAACCGCAACCGAGGTACGTGCCTGTGACCAGAATAGAACCTTCGACTCATTGGTCCACTGGCCAACGCTCCAACCGTTGAGCCAAACTGGTCAGGGCCATTAAGTTGAATTTACTTTAGTGTATACATACTGCTTTGGGTTGCTACTAGGGATAGAGCAAGCAAATGAATTGATGATGTGAAATACCACATTCATTTATCTGTCTCATTGATCTTTGCTCTCTTCTGGCTTGGATATGTTCTCAGGCTGCAGCAGTGAAGATAGTCTCAGCGTGTTAGGCTTACATTCTGTCAGTTTAGCAATCTCAATGATAAACTTCCTTCACAAATAGTTTCAGAAGTCCTGGGGTTAACTCTGGCCAGACTTGCTCTGGAGTGGTTGGGGGAGGTGGGGTGGGAAGTAAGTGAGGTCTAGCCCTATTCAAACTAAGTAGTTTCCAAAAAGGAAGTTATAGACACTACTACCAGAAGAAAGGATGCCAAGCAGGCAAAAACAGCATAAAGTCTGCAAAATAACGATAAGGATTATTAGTTGCGTTAAAAAGATGAATTCTGATAGGAGCTGCTTTAAGAAAAGCTTCAGGCATAAAGCTGTATTTGAATTGGGCCCTGAAGGACAAGTAGATTTTTTTCCCAGGCAGAATTAGTAAAGAAAGGACTCAGTTGACAAGTTTGGCTGTCAAAGAAAATTGAAATGGAAGCTACTAGAGTCTAAAGGAGAATGTTGAGAATTTTTCCTCCTCTGTGTGGAGAAAACTTGAACATTTTTATGGCAGAGGAGCAGAAAAGCAAGGAAAGGAGAAGTTAATGCAAAGGAGGCAATCATTACAAAGAAGTAGAGGAATTTAGTGGGATTTAGGATATAAGTGGAAGGAATAGCCTTAGAAAGGAAAGAGGAACTGTTCATTCTCTGAAAATAAGTAAAGGAAGTTGGTGGTGGTGGCTATGCTGGTTAACACAGAAATATACTGTTAAATAGGTAAGTAGCTTCCGTTTTGTGTTCTAAAAGTATAAATAAATAAATAAATAAATAAATAAATGATTTATCAGTTATCTATTGCTGTGTACCAAACCATTCCAAAATGATTTTGTGGGTTAGCAATTTGGTTTGAATGTAGGTTGGGTGGTTTCTTCTTCTGGCCATGACTTGGATCACTCATGTGGGTGTGCTCATTTGGACTATGGGTGGATGGTCTAAAAGGGTGACTTCATTCACATGTTTGGTAGTTGGTGCTGGCTATTGCCTGGGCCTCTCACTCCTTGTATACACTCATCTTTTATGAGTATTCACATAGCATGGCTGCACTCAAGAAAGGAAGAGGTGAAGCAATCAGGCCTTTTATGACCTTGTTTTAGAACTCCCACACTGTCACTTCTTTCATATTCTCTTGGTCAAAGAAAAGTCACAAAACCAGCTCCTATGTAGTCAAGAAGTAGACCTCACCTCCTTAGGGGAGGAGCAGTTAAGTCAAATTGCAAAGGGCAGCACATACTGGAATGGGAGGAATTTGTGCCTATTCTCCCTGCAACCAAGTGTTGTATTTTTATTTTATTTTTTTTTATCCTCACCCGAGGACATTTTTCCATTTTTTGTACAGATAGAGTGGGAGGGAGCGAGAGGAAGGGAGAGAGAGAGAGAAACATCGATGTGAAGGGACACATCGAGTGGCTGCCACCCGCACGACCAACCAGGGCCGGGGACAAACTGCAACCGAAGTACGTGCCCTTAGCGGGAACCGAACCCGGGTCTCTGCGGACCGCAGGCTGACGCTCTAACCGCTGAGCCAAACTGGCCAGGGCCCAAGTGTTGTATTTTTAAAATGTTCAGTAATGCAGCCAAGTTGAAACAATTTCAGAGTGACTACCCATATCCTTACCATCTAGATTCTACTGCTAACATTTTCCTGTACTTCCCTTAATATATCTTTAACCATCTGTTCTCACTCTGTTTATCCTTTTTGGTTTATTAATCCTCACCTGAGGATATATTTCCCATTGATTGTTTTAGGGAGAGTGGAAGGGAAGGAAGGAGATGGGGGTGAAAGAGAGAAAGAGAAACAACGGTGTGAGAGAGACACATTGATTGGTTGCCTTCCACACGTACCACAACAAGGGCTGGGAATCGAACTTGCAACCCTTGGGTTCACAGGCTAATGCTCTGAGCCACACTGGCCAAGGCAAACAGCTCTCTTGTTTTCTAAGTCTTCAGACCAGGTATATCTCAAACCAGATTAGAGCAATAATAGGTGCCATTTATTTAGTGCTTATACTCAAGGCCAATGGTAAACACTTTTAATTGCATTGTTTTATTTAATCCTTATAATTTAAGAGACAAATAGTTTTTTATTTTAGAAGTTAGGAAGCTAAGGTATGTGGAAAAGTTTTAATTTGTCCAGTCTTACAGCTTCATAAATCAAGGTGGCGTGACTCTAGAATCCACATTTAACCCCTGTATTATATTGATTAGAAGCAGGAAATATGTCCTATTAAATAGTAGATAACTAACCCTTTAATTGGTCCTATTGCTTCATAGGGTAATTTTGATCTGAATTAAGTGTTTGTCTTAAATAGAGAAGTATAAATTTTATTTTATTTTTTAAAATATGTTTTTATTGAGTTTTGAGAGAGGGAGAAATATCATTCGGCTGCCTCCTGCATGCCCCCTACTGGGGATTGAGCCCATAAACTGGGTATGTGCCCTGACTGGAATCAAACCAGGATCTCTCAGTCCATAGGATGATGCTCAATCCACTGAGCCACATCAGCCAGGTGAGAAGTATAAATATTAAAAAACTGATCTATAAGAAAGTTAATAAGCTGTCTTCTAGTCTATGAATAAATATTTTAGCAATTGGGAAAGGAGAAATTTTAGTATTATAGTTTAACTGAAGATAATCAGTCTAGAAGTGTGATAAAAATTATGTGCCAAACTTGCCCTGGCCGGTTTGGCTCAGCGGTTAGAGCATCGGCCTGCGGTCCAGAGAGACCCGGGTTCAGTTCCCACTAAGGGCACATACCTCGGTTGCAGTTTGTCCCTGGCCCTGGTTGGGTTGTGTGGGTGGCAGCCACTCGATGTGTCCCTTTCACGTCGATGTTTCTCTCTTTCCCCCTCTCTCCCTCCTACTCTATCTGAACAAAAAGTAGAAAAATGTCCTCGGGTGAGGATAACAAAAAACTATGTGACAAACTCAATCAGTTTTTCATATGATATTTGGTTTTATTGGCTGGGTATTAAGGCTTTTTTTTTTAATCCTCACCTGAGGATGTTTTTCTATTTATTGTCAGATAGAGTGGGAGGGAGGGAGAGAAAAACACTAATGTGAGAGGGAGACACATCAGCTGGTTGCCTCCTGCACAATCCCGACCAGGGCCCCGGGACGAACTGCAATTGAGGTACATGCCATGCCCTTGGTAGGAATCGAGTCCAAGACTCATTGGTCCGCAGGCCAATGCTCTACCTCTGGGTCAAACTGGCCAGAGCAGTATTAAGGACTTTTATTGCTAATTGACTTGAGAACAGTTTAACAAATAGCAAGACTGAAACTCTTTTTGACTTGCTATTTGCATAATAGTAAATCCTGTTGAAACTCTTGCAAATAGACTAGCATTTAAGTCATTTCATGTCAAGAATTGTGGCAGAAGTGCTACTGGTTAAACCAGGGTAGCCATTGTGATAGCTGAAGTGAAAGCTTGTTGAGTTCATTTACTGTTCTAGCTTTCCTGGTAGGTCAGGGAATGGGACAATTATGTATGTCTAAACATCTTTCTTAACCTATCAGTGAGTGTATAAGACATTTTAAATGTTCCTTCACCCAAATTTCCCTCAACTGGTCATTTTATTTTTTAATTGTTTTTTCTTTATTGATTTTGGAGGGAGAGATAGAATCATTGATGAGAGAGAACATCAATTGGCTGCCTCTTGCATGCCACCCACTGGGGATCAGGCCCACAACCTGAGCATGTGCCCTGACCGGGAATCAAACCGGCGACCTCTTGGTGCGTGGGTCACTGCTCAACCACTGAGCCATACCATCTGGGCAACTGTTCATTTTATTTTATTTGGTGGTGTGTTTGTAAGTAGCTTTAAATCATAACTAAATTATATGAAGTAGGTTACAAACAAAATTTATGTTAAAAAATATCTCATTGTTATGTTTATTTTTGTGTGTAGGTCTTGCTATTGGGAGCTTCAAGAAAAGAAATAGATTAGAAGAAAGTTGGTCTTTTAAAGTGGACATGGCTCAGATATCCAGCAACAATGGATTTAAGCAGTGTTCATCTTCACATCTGGAACCAACAAGAACAAATGATGTGGACAAAGAAGAAGCGTTACAGATGGAAGCAGAGGCTTTAGCAAAACTGCAAAAAGATAGACAAGTAACTGATAATCAGCCAGGCTTTGAGTTGTCAAGCAGCACTAGACAAAAAGCACAAGTTTATAACAAACAGGATTATGACCTCATGGTGTTTCCTGAATCAGATACCCAAAAAAGAGTAGTAGATATTGATGTAGAAAAGCTCACCCAGGCAGAACTGGAGAAACTGTTGCTAGATGACAGTTTCGAGACAAGGAAAACACCTGTGATGCCAGTTACTCCTGTTCTGAGCCCTTCATTTTCAGCACAGCTGTATCTTAGACCTCCTGTTCAGAGAGGACAGTGGCCAACTGGTTTATCTGGGCCCTCCACTTATACTTTACCTTCTATTTATCAGTCAACTTACAGCAGTAAACAGACTGCATTCCAAAATGGCTTTAATCCAAGAATGCCTACTTTTCCATCCACAGAACCTCTATATTTAAGTCTTCCAGGACAGTCTTCATATTTTTCATATCCTTTGACACCTGCCACACCCTTTTATCCACAAGGAAGCTTACCTACCTGTCGTCCAGTAGTCAGTCCTGACATGGCAAAGCTGTTTGACAAAATAGCTAGTACATCAGCATTTTTAAAAAATGGAAAAGCAAGGACTGATTTGGAGATAGCAAATTCAAAAGCTACAATCAGCAATCTACAGGTATCTCCAAAGTCTGAAGATATCAGTAAATTTGACTGGTTAGACTTGGATCCTCTAAGTAAGCCTAAGGTGGATAATGTAGAGGTATTAGACTATGAAGAAGAGAAAAATGTTCCAGGTTTGCTAGCAGAGGATCCTTGGGATGCTGTTCTTCTTGAAGAGAGATCACTAGCAAGTTGTCACCTTGAAAGAAAGGTGAATGGAAAATCTCTTTCTGGGGCAGTGGTAACAAGAAGCCAGTCTTTAAATATTCGAACAACTCAGCTTACAAAAGTCCAGGGCCAAATAGCTCAGGTATAGTATTTTTTTTTACTAACTTCTCAAACAGAATTCGTATTTGTGTGTATAATTTATTAGGTAAAAAATATTTTTCATTTTGAATCATGTTTTATATGTTAAGTGTGCTGTGACTACAGTAAAGGATTAAATGTGTTTAGGCCAATTGAAAAATTACTTGCTGGTAATGTTATATCAGGGATTATAAATTTAAAAAACCTCTAATCAAAATCTGACTATCACTAATAGGCACTTAAGATAATTTTTTATCTGTTTCTGTGTCTTCTCCTTATATATGGCCCGGGTTTTTTTCTTTATCTCTTATTTTTCAAGGTAAACAAGCAATTGTATTTTTTCTGTTGTTGTTATTTTTAATTTGTTTTCATCCTTACCCGAGGATATTTTTTCCCATTGTTTTTCAGAGAAACTGGAAGTGGGGAAGAGAGAAGCATTGATGTGAGAGAGACACATCAATTGGTTGCTTTCCCCATGTACCCCTGTCAGGGCTGGAGATAGAACCTGTAATCCAAATAGATACCCTTGACCAGGAATCAAGCTCACTACCCTTTGTTGCTTGGGCTGATGCTACAGTCACTGAGCCATATCAGCCAGGGCAGGAATTGTGGTTTTTAACTCCATTATAGAAATTCTCATTTTATTTTTTATATTGTAATATTCCTTGTTATATTATTTTGATGATTTAAATCATGAATGAATGGCAGGAAGGGAGGGAGGGAGGATAACCTTACAGAGAAAGGAGAAAAGCCATTTAAATACCTCTTTTTGATCCCCTATATTGATCAAAGTGAGGAATGGAACTATAGTAGTTGTTGAATTCATATAGTCTTACTATTTGCAAAAATTAGTTAAGGGTGGTTGAGGAAGGCAGGATGTCTTCCCTCAGAAGAGAGGCAGCAGGGTTTAGACTTTTCCTTCCAAAAATAGTTTACCTAATCGCAGATTTGTATTTTGCTTTTATAATTAAAAAATATTTTTATTTTAGCCCGACCGGTATGACTCAGTGGATTGAACATCATCCCATGGACTGAGAGGTCTCAGTTCAATTTCTGGTTGGAGTACCTGCCCAGGTTGCAGGCTCCATCCTCAGTAGGGGGTGTGCAGGAGGCAGCTGATCGATGTTTCTCTCTCACATTGATGATTTTATCTCTCTCTCCCTAAAAAATCAATTTAAAAAATTTGTTAGAATTTTTTTTTTAGAGACAGGAAAGGGAAGAGAAAGAGAGAGAGAGAGAGATTGATGCGCGAGAGAGAAACATTGATTAGTTGCCTGGTAGGTTTGATTCCCGGTCAGGGTACATACCCTGGTTGTGGGTTCAATCCCTGGTGAGGGCTTGTACAGGAGGCAACCTGTTGATGTTTCTCACATTGATGTTTCTCTCTCTAAGCATATCCTCGGTTGAGGATTAAAAAAAATCTTAACCATTGATTAGGAAGCACTTTATTAAGTTCTCTTAAGCTTTTCAATACTATTTACAGATTTAATAACATAACCTCTGAACACCTTGCAGTTAAAAAACCACAAGTTAATTACACATTTAAAATTTAATAACAAATATAATTTATGTAAGATTATTTCTCTTAATTTCCAGAAATATTTGAAGGGAGAAGGGGAAACTTTATTTATTTATTTATTTATTTATTTTTATCCTCACCCGAGGACATTTTTCCATTTTTAACTCAGATAGAGGGGGAAGGAGAGAGAGGAAGAGAGAGAAACATCGACGTGAAAGGGACACATCGAGTGGCCGCCACCCACACGACCCAAACAGGGCCGGGGACAAACTGCAGCCAAGGTACATGCCCTTAGCGGAAACCGAACCCGGGTCTCTGTGGACCGCAGGCTGACGCTCTAACTGCTGAGCCAAACTGGCCAGGGCGAGAAGGGGAAACTTTAAGTAAAAAATTATTTTAAAAAAAGTTGGGGGAGGATATACCTAGGAGTACAATTGCTGGTAATTCTTGTTTAACTTTTTGAGAACCACCAAACTATTTTCCATAGTGGCTACACCATTTTACATTCCCACAAGCATTGTATGAAAGGTTTCACTTTTTCTAAATCCTCGCTAGTACTTGTTATTTTCCATTTTTTGGATTATAGCCATCCTAATGGATATAAAGTGGTTTTGAGTTTTTTTTTTATCCTCACCCAAGGACATTTTTCCATTTTTTGTTCAGATAGAGTGGGAGAGGGAGAGAGAGAGAAGCATCGACGTGAAAGGGACACATCAAGTGGTTGCCACCCGCACGACCCAACCAGGGCTAGGGACAAACTGCAGCCGAGGTATGTGCCCTTAGCGGGAACTGAACCCGGGTCTCTCTGGACCGCAGGCCGATGCTCTAACCGCTGAGCCAAACTGGCCAGGGCAGTAGTTTTGATTTTTACACCTCTGAAGGCTAATGATGTTGAGAACCTTTTTTGGTGCTTATTGGCCATGTGAATATCTTTTTTGGAGAAATGTCTGTATAAATCATTTGCCCATTTAATTTTTATTTATTTATTGAATTTTAGAGGATATTTATTAAAGCTGGGGACAGTGAAATAAGAAAGGGCTGAGAAATGAGCCTAGGCTGGTCTGCTTTGGCCCACTAAGAAGTCAGAGAAAAGGGGGCCTTGGGACAGGTTTAAGGGGTTTGTCTGGGACCAACTGCTATTGCTGCTTGGTTGCAAGCTTCAAGGGTTCCCTTAGAGTTTAGGAGATACTTGCCTGTGGGAGAAGAAAGGGTGGGGGGTGGTGTGGACTTGCTCCTGGGAAGAAGAGAGTGCTCATTTGCCCATTTTAAAAACTGGATTGTTCATGGCAGCTTTATTCATAATAGCTCAAAAGTGGAAACAATTCAGGTGTCCATGAACTGATGAATAGGTAAACAAAAGTGGTATGTTCATACAATGGAATATTATTCACCCATAAAAAGGAATGGAGTCCTGCCCCAGCTGGTTCAGCTCAGCGGTTGGAGCCTTGGCCCATGGACCAATGAATCTCGAGTTCAATTCTGGTCAAGGGCATGTACTTCCGTTGCAGTTCGTCCCCAGCCCTGGTTGGGGTTGTGTGGGAGGCAACCACTTGATGTGTCCCTCTGGGTTGATGTTTCTCTCTCTCTCTCCCCCCCCCCCTCACCCTCCCTCCCTCCCTCCCATTCTATCTGGGATAAATAGAAAAATATCCTCAAGTGAGGATTTTTTAAAAAAGGAATGAAGTCCTGATATATGCACAACATGGATGAACCTTGAAAACATAAGTGAAAGCAGCCAGACACAAAAAGACCACGTATTCTTTGATTCAGTTTTGTATGCTACATCCAGAAAAGGCAAACCCATACATAAATAAAGTAGATTAATGTTTGCCAAGGGTGGGATGAAGGAGGGAATGGGAAATGATTGCTTAATGGATTTGGGGGGGGTGGGGGTGATGAAAATGTTCTGTAATTAGAATGCTTTAATGTTCTAACCGTAGTGGTGATGGCCACAAATACTCTGAATGTACTGAAAGCCAGTGAATTGTACATTTTTAAATGGTTAAAATGGCAAATTTTATGTTCTGTGAATTTTACCTCTGTTAAAAAAGAAAAGGGAGTCATTGGTCCTCCTGATCTTCCCATCCTGCTTAGGCCAGGTCACTGCTGAATTCATAATTGAGGCAATGTTCCAATAGAGATATCCTTCCCAACTGTGGGTCTCCTTTTTACAGGTTAAACATGAGAGCATGGTGTTTGACACCATGAAGTCTGGATTAGGGATATTAGATATTTACAGGAGTTGTTCAGGAAGGACAACTGCCTAGAACCTGGATATCTTGGAAGTATGAAAGTTACAGTCTCTGTTATCAGAGAAAGGGAAGCTTCTGGTTCTGTAAAGGAACTAAGTTTAGGTTCAGCCCTCCCATTGGTAGGAGGCAGAGCCCCTTATTTTCCTGGAAACCCAGAGTGAGCATCCTGGTCACTTGCTCTTTGCAGCACACCTCTGTATGTATGCATTCACTTTTATAATGTATGCATTATAGCTACAACATATAGATTACCCTTTTGGGGAAAAAAACTAATTTCTAGTGTTTTAATTTTTTTTATTTTTTATTTATTGATTTTAGAGCGTGGGGGAGAGAGAGAGAAACAGATTTGTTCCACTTATTTATGCATTCGTTGGTTGCTTCTTGTATGTGTCCTGACCCGATATTGAACCCACAACCTTGGCATATTGGGACAATGCTCTATCCAGTTGAGCTGCCCATCCAGGGCTCCCACATAGATTATCTTGAATTTAATAAAATATTTATAAATGACTGTGGATTATTTCATTATCTCTGTACATTAAATTATAATTTTCCCAGCATTGGGAAAGTCATTTATCCACCAAAGGAAACAGATTATTTAGGTGAGCTGAGATGACCATTAAAAGTGAACCGTGGGCCCGGCTGTTGTGGCTCAGTGGTTGAGCCACACCCATGCACCAAGAGGTGGCCAGTTTAACCTCTTGTGGGCCCAGTCCCCAGTGGGGGGCATGCAGAAGGTGGCAAATCCATGTTCTCTTTCATCATTGTTTCTCCCTCTCCCTCCTTCTCTCACTAAAATCAATAAAAAAGAAAAAAATAATTTTTTAAAAAGTGAACTGTGGTTATCTTAAACAAGTTGAGGGTTCTGGGTCAACTGGAATTTTCAAAAAAAATTTTTTTCCTTTGGTTTTAGAGAGAGTGGAAGGGAGAGGGGGAGAGAGACAGAAACATCGATGGGAGAGAACATCGATTGGCCGCCTCCTACATGCCCCCCACTGAGGATCGGGCCCACAACTTGGGCATGTGTCCTGACTGGGAATTGAACTGGCAACCTCTTGGTGCATGGGTCTACGCTCAACCACTGGGCCACACCAGCCGGACTCGACTGGAATTATTTACTGTTCAATGAACCAGAATAACTGGAACTCGGAACCTAAGAGCTAGATGCTTTTTATCTATGCTGTAGATGTTCAAACTGAACTCTCTTATTTTTATAGCCAGTGAGACAGTAGA